GTGATTCTCCTCAAAGTGACTCTAGTAGGATGTAATGACTAATCATGTTTTTTACCATATCTTTAAAAGTCTTGTTTCATTGTTCAACTATACTAGTCATATTGGGCAAATCCAGCATGGCGTATTGTAAAACAATTCCACATCCCTCTAAGAAATTAACAAATGGCCCTAGACGTTGTTCTCCTGATCCTTCATATATGACATAATACTCATCAGCACAATTACTTTTTATCATACTTTATTTTCTTAATGAGTTGGTTCTCAACTTCAACTTCGAAAATTTTGAACATGTTCAGTGGCTCTTGACTTTTCATGAATAAAATATAGGTAATCATAACGTGAGTAATCATCTATGAATTATATAAACTATCGTTGAGCATTCCAAAAAGCCAAAGTAAATGGGCCACAAATATCTGTATGTATCAATTCTAAGACGTCTAAGGATCTATTGGCACCTAGTCTCTTTTATTTGTTTTGTTTTCATTTGATGCACTCAACACAAACATTTAAGTCAAAATCGTCAAGTGAATCTAAAATACCTTCTAATAAAAGTTGTTCAATTCTAGAATTGGATATATGACCCAAACACGTGTGACATACCTTTGCAGAATTATCATTCTTTAGCTTACGTTTAGTACCACGTTAATATGCATGCAAGGTTTCATTATATGATGCAATAGTATCAAGTAAATACAGGTTATCAAATGTACTTAATGAACTAGTACCAACTATGTTATAATTGAACGAAAGAGTAAATTGATTATTTCTAAATGAATAATAGTAACCGAATTTGTCCAATAAGGAAATAGAAATCGAATTCTACTTAAATGACGGTACAACAAAAGTATCTTTCATATCTAAATAACAATCAGCTCTTAATAATAACCCAAAATGGTTTATTGTTCCACTTTCACTTTTTTGCCATCACTCACATAGATGTATCTTTCATTATATGATGCAATAGTATTAAGTAAATATAGGTTGTCAAATGTACTTAATGAACTAGTACCAACTATGTTATAATTGAATGAAATAGTAAATTGATT